AAATGTATTTTTTTAGTTTTCGTTGTAAAATGCAAAATAGTTGTAAACATCACCATAAGTAGTTAAAATCGTATTATTTAGTTATGCTTTTTCATTATATTATAGGTGAATATGTGTAGATATGTATACTTGTATAAAAATCGAGATAATAATAAAATTTGTTAATATTTTTATTTTTTTATTCAAATTTTGGCCTGTAACAATTCTGTGGGGTAATGGGAGAATTAGTGTCAGCCCAAAGAATCTTCGTTACTATGTTAGGGCTTTCGTTATTTCTTTCAAAATTGTAAAAGATATGAATATTCCCTTAATATTCATTCAACATTACCTTGGAATATTCCATTAATATTACGGTGGAATATTGCCTCAACATCATCCTGGAATATTACTTCGAAATTACCGTGGAACATTCCCTCAATGTTATTTTGGAATATTCCTGTGGGGCGGACATTTTAATATTACTTTAAGATCCCTGGAACATTCCACTAGAATATTCCGAATATGAAATGTAATATTCCCTTCATTTCGATGGGTTAGTCGAAAAAAAGGACACCTCGAATTTTGGTTGAAAAAGAGGACACCTCGCATTTTAGTTGAAAAAAAGGACACGTCGAAAATATTCATTTTACATCAACTTTCGTTTGGCGATACTAGTAGTGATGCATTACGAGCGAATATCGAGAATCTCGCGAAAAATACAATGAAAACAATTGAATGTTACAGTTTCATCTCTTTCCTTTTATGAAAGGACAAAGTCTCGTTATGCATCACTAGGCGATACTATGTGTAATGTAATTGTTTTTTGTAATAGAAGATTTAAGAACATATTATCTTCATAGTTTTTTGAGCACAAAATATCATAAGTCAATTACTTTACACATATCGTTCACTTCATGTGGAATGTACGTATGTTTAAAGAACATTTTAGAAGTTACGTATCTTCCACGTTCAGTGAAGAAACCACGTATCCTTCTGTTCCGTGCAAAAACTACGTATCTCTGTCAGTCACTTTAGAAGATCTACATTTTATTATTATTATTATTATTATTATTATTATTTTTTTTGTTATTATTATTTTGAAGTTAATATTTTGTTATAAAGTAATAATTTTTTCAAAAGTTGATGCAATAAAATATATATTTTTTAAAATAATTTAATTTTTTTTCTTAAAAATATTAGAATATTATTAGAAGTTTTTAAAGCGACTGACAGAGATACGTAGTTTTTGCACGGAACAGAAAGATACGTGGTTTCTTCACTGAACCTGGAAGATACGTAACTCCTAAAATGTTCTTTAAACATACCAGTGCTGCCAGATTGGGAGATTTTTCTTCAAATTTGAAGAATAATTTGTAGTTTTGAGAAATTTGAAGAAATTTTTTTAAAATTTAAAGATTTTTTTTTAAGAAGTACGTTTTATTAATTTCTTTTTTAAATAACACTAGAATGGTGAGAGGTGAATGTAAATTGTTACCATTTGGTAGTGTTTTGTGACTAAACCGTAAATGCATAAATGTGAGAGAGATATGTTCGCTATATTTGCACCGAAAGCAGAAAACCATGAGTGCAAAAAAGATAGGTAGATATTGTTGTTCTTTTCACTCTCATGATTTTCTGCTTTCGGTAGACGTATTCTGCTCACATGGTATCTCCCCTGATATACGTAAGAACAGTCTTTTGCAGCAGAATACAATTTACCATCAGAGAATAAATTTTGTTTGGTTGAAACATATTCTATGATCTAATGCAAAATCTTTCAGATCAAATATTAGTTATAATAATTATATAATTTCATAATATTCTTGATTCTAAGTTTTTTAAAATTTGGAGATTTTTTTGAAGATTTTTTTCATAAGGTTTTGAAGATTTTTGAAAAAAAGTTTTAGAAGTTTGAAGAATTTTGATTTTCCTGGTCTGGCAGCACTGAAACATACGTACATTCCACTTGGAGAAAACGATATTATCGTCAAACAAAAATGCATTTAAAATTAATATTTTCGAGGTGTCCTTTTCTTCAACTAAAAAGCGAGGTGTCCTCTTTTTGAACCAAAATTCGATGTGTCCTTTTTGTCCACTAACCCAGCGATAAAATTATTCCATTTAATTGACTTAAGTAATTTGTATTTGGTTCAAATAATTATTTATTTGATACCATAAATTAAAATATTTGCGTCCAGTAAATATTTACTTAGTTCAAATAAATAAAAATAAATAAGTAAAAACAAATAAGTTTAAATACAACCGAACGAGCGTTAGCGAGTGAGGTATATGTCGCTAGTATTCATAAATTAAATGTAATTATATTGCGGTTTGTAAACTTTTGCAATTCGAAATGATTCGAATTTTCTGTTGTCGAGTCGATTAATGTTCGGTTCGACTCGATTAAATGCACACCTCTATTTCATATGCAAATTGCTTCCTTTTTTATGATAGAATAATCATTTAAAAATATTAATATTAAATAAATTATGAAAAAATACAAAATTTGAATTTTTTGTGAAAAAGAAAAATTTCTATTAATTTTATAAATTTTGATAAAAAATATACTTTGTATACATCAATCGATTCGTTTTCTTGCCAGGAATGTAATTTTGAGAATAATTAATTAAAATATTAACAAATAAAAAAATTATTTACAAAAATACAAAAAAAAATTTTTTTGAATTTTAAAAAAATTGTATAAAAATTTTTTTTTAGATATTTTTGAAAATCCTTGTGTCAGATTTTAGGTATTAATGACTGCAATAAACCTGCAAAATTTCAAGACAATCCATCAAAATTTGTTTGAGATAATTTGTACACAATTTTTGTGACATACACACATACACACACACATACATCTGGAATTTAATTTAATCTCAGAATTTAATATACATATGTTATAGATGAAAATGAGTCCATATAACCTTCTTTTGAAATATTGAAAATCGTCACGAATGCAAAGCTTCCTTATGAGGAAGCAAAAGCAATTTAAAATTGGAGAAAAATGTGAGATTAAAAATGCCCATCACAACTGATAACTTTAAAGTGTTTTATAATAATTAATTTTTTAATTATCAAAACTTTTACACATTACTGCAATTCCTGATTATATTTGAGACTTCATCATAAAATTATGTTTTGGTCATCTCTCCCTAACACATTTATTTTGTATTTGTATGTGATTTGTATAATATAGGGAAGAAAATATGGATGATATTCAACCGTTTCTGTTTTCAAATTAAAGTTGATAAGATAGAGTAAACTTCATGTAAGGTAAATTTTTATTTAATGTAAAAATGACGCAGTAACAAAAATTGAAAAGTGATACGTCCCGGTCTCCCCTATTATGATTTGATTAAAAACACTGATACTACAATCGTAATTTATTTACATTTCATATAATAAAGTAATTATGAATTGCATTATTTAATATTATTGATTACCTAACCAGGTGTGTGGTTATTTATTATTGTTACGATTATTGACCATTTTGTGGATACAATTCGTTAAGAGATTATTTCACAATATTCTCTTTATTTGTTTTGTTTTAATATTCCAATAATACTATTCAGCGTATAATATTCATTTAATAATATCATTTAATCATTATTCAATATTAAACGATATATATGCAAATAGCAAAAATGACAAGACAATTGTACAATAAATCCCTTATAATGATCATAATGCAAATAATGATTAAAATGATTAAAAAGATTATAATGATTATATTGTTATAATGCATTATATAATGATTATTAAGATTGCAATAATTATGACGATTGTAATAAATTAATGTATTAACATTATTACCTATACAATTAATTATTTTATTAAATGTTACTCGCTCCGAAGAAAGATATCGAAAAAGTAAATCATTAATAAGGTTATTATTTTTACATTCATGAAAAGTAATTTACATTAAGAGTTGATTCCATTTGTATACTTTCAATCAAAAAATTACAAACATAACCTAAAAGTTTTGCTTCTTCGCAGCGTGTCACAAATATTTTAAAAAAAGTCATTTTCTTCAAAGGAAAAAAAGAAAAAAATATATTATAAACATGTCGAAAAATAATAAGAAAGCTTACTCAACGTCTATAAAAGAATTTTTCCATTGTACCAGTAAATATTTTCCCTCTTATATGATGATAGCATGTATATATATGTTAAGAAACGACCCTATAAGATACCTTATTGCATGATAGCTGGGTAGAAGAAGTTTAAATTGATTACAACGTTGAGGCCACAGTGTAGTATGCATGAAAGGACATTATGGTTGTTACGTACATATTATGATTGTGCTTTTATATCATGAAAATTCTGATACACAGCTCTTTTTTATTCTCACTGAAAAAAATACACTTAAATTAACAGCATGTGACTTTTAGATCACCAATGATAATTTTACGACCATTTTTCTTTTAATATAGGGGAGACTAGGTGCAGTTGTTACAATTTTGATAAAATCAGTTACACAACAGGTACATTTTTTACAATAAATCACTTTATTAAAAAAGTATACACTAAATGTGGACAACCAAGGCAGTTTGTTAAAGCTAAATCCTCATAGAATTGATATTAAGGTCTATTAGTTATTTAAAAAATATCAACCAGAGAAATATTTACTTTTGGCCTCTAAAAACCAATGTGCCTATTTTTTACTTGTTAAGCTTCACTGTTTCTGAGATATTCCATTTGTAACAACTGCACAGCGTAACAACCGCACCTAGTCACCCCTATTGAATAAATTCAACTTAAATTTTGTAAGAATGTTTTTTAAAATGTTTTATAAAAATTAATTTAAAAAATATTAAAACTTTTGCACCTCACTGCACTTTTTCCAGTGGCGTATTTATTATATCTACATTCTAGATAATTTTCCTCATTTTTATAATGTTTATATATATCATATAATTCATTTTTCCTAGAGTTATAATTTGTAATATAAAATTGTATAAATATTTGTACAAATAAATAAATGAATGAAAAATACAATTTTTATAAATTGTCCTCCATAATTCTTGTTTAATGATTATTAATTAATATAATTTGTTTTTAAATTTTCTACAATAACATTATTCGTTTCTTTTGAAATTGCCTCAGAAGAACGTAGAAGGAATATGATGTTTTTACGGCCTAAAATTTTTTTGGTATTAAAATGTAAATAATTTATTATTTAATAATTAAGTGTTAAGAAAAAAAACAAAACATTAAAAACTTACACCTAGAAATGTGTTGAGCGACAATAGAACAAAATTCCAAATTCGTATTTGAATTGGTACTTGCAATCGTGACATAATTATGCATAATAATTGTCGAAATCCTTTATTTGGCACAGAAGCCCATGAACATTGATAAATTGCATTTATCAATTCAGAAGTCTAAAATTTATATACAGTTTTAAAACAATTATTTATTCTTCTTTCTGCAAAATCTAATTTTCTTGAAAGATATTTATTAATAAATATATATATTAAATAATAAATTCATTTCATAAAAAAATTATTATTTTACATAAAATCTTTTCTTTTTTCGAATAAAAAATAATGTACCTAATTAAAAAAGAAGTTATTATTTTTAATATAAACCTAATATTTTTAAGGCCAGGTTCCTCCAAAAACCGTGTTTTTTCAAACATATTTTATTCGTAATATAAGAAATATAAGAAATATTTTTAAATGAAAGTTTTTACAGTTGAAAGGTATTAAAAAGTACTAAGTAAAAAACATTTTTTTTTCTCTTAATGGCGGCTGCTGAAAAATGCCCTTTTTGTTGGTGGGTGACAGGATTAATAGAAAACGAATCATCTGAAAGCAAAAATCGAAACGGTTTCTTATTCTGTATCACATTGGCTATATGGTCTGAACTAAAATAAAACATATTGACCAAAAAAAAATGTCGGACTTTTAAATTTTTTTTCATTTTTTTCACTTATAATTATTTATAACTTTTTTAAAATAACAATGAATTTTTTTTGGTTGTAGTTCACACCATAGAGAGAAGGGAATATTAAAAAAAAATAAATAAACAAGCACCCGCCCCGGGGTGCTCTAGCGGGATTAATTCTATATTATTTCTAAGAGCATTTTCTAGCAATTTACGGGGAGAAAAGTTCGATTTTTTGAAAATTGTTTTGAGGAACCTGGCCTTAAAAAAATTTCTTAAAAAATAGAAGAATTATTCAACAAATAATATTATTTTAAATAAAATGTAATTAAATAAATACTACTAAAGTATTTTCTAACATAATATATTATTCCGAATTTGGGAATAAATGGACCGGTTTAAAAAAAATATAATTCTCAACCAGTTCTAGTCGGAACAACCCGGTTATAAGTTATTGCCGGAAGCTGAACGAAATTTGACTTACCCCATTTTGTTCGGTTAAAATTAATGGGCAGAAATTTGTTGCAATCAGCATCGGGTCATTTTGTAATTAAATTTATGTTTGAAAATTCAATTGCAAAATTTTACATTAATTAAATTTTCTCTATATTATTTGTTTGACATAATTTTATTATTTAATTTATTCATATTTATAATAATTAATTATTTTAAATTAACTACCTATTTGATTTAATTTTTTTATTAATTAATTATATTTACCTTCATAGTAATTTCATTTCCTCTTCTCATGTAAATATACATTTGAAATAACATACATATCAAATATTGTAAAATAACGTAAAATTTTATTGAATTAGGTTTTAACTAAAAAACGAGAAAAATTTAATTAATTTTTAAAAAATAATTTTATAAGTAAGAAAAAAATTTTTTTTTACATTATACAAAAAAAAATTAACTTGCCAAAGTAAGTATGAAACAACTTAAACATAATGCAACCGAACTTCCACAAAATTGTACCATTATGCTCGTTCCAAATGTTTCTACTACATCTTGAATGTAACTAAAATAAAAAGAATTTCTCCTTATAAAAATACATATTTCACATCATAAAAAAGACAATTTTATTTGAAATTTTCAGAAAGTAAGAAACTAAAATTTCTAATATTATTGAATTACTAATTATTTGAAATTTGTAATTATTTTTAGCTAGTGGTTAATTTGTACCTGATCTGTAGATACTTTTAATTAGAAATTATTTTTAATTAGTATTTATTTTGAGTTAGCAGTTATTTTTAATTATTTTCAATTAATATAATTTAATATAATTACCTAATTGAATGAATTTTAATTCAAAATTAATTATAAAAAATAAAATAATTAAAAAAACTAAACTAATTAATTAATTAAAATAAATTAATTAATTAGTAAAGTTTGATTATTAAAAATTATTTATTTTCGGAAAATAATGGAGTTTTGTTTTCGAATTAAATAATTAATAACATAGTGTTGACTTAAAAGAATAAATATCCACTTACGCTATTATTGCCTTGTAACGATTAACATAATTAATGATTCTTTGCTCGTAAATTCTAATCGCATTATTATCCTCATTAAAACAAGAATAAGTCGTTAAATTATCATCTTCTGTTAGTCGAGAAATTTCACGATTTTCCGTTTCATTGATATTATTATCGTTAATGTCGGTTAATTTCTTAAAATCAATTTTCAGCATTTCTAACTGTCCCAACATTGTAATAAAAAATGCAATTACAATCATGTCCATCATTGAATTTATATTAGCTGTTAATAGTACCATACTGCATTGAAATATGTAAGCGTATGTGTAGTATGGCTCGACTGTAACGTTAAAAGGATACCAAGCACCATAAAGTAATGCTTTTACCTGAAAGGGTTGGAAAAATTATTGAAAATCTATTTTTATTATGATATAAAAAGTTCCTTAAATTTCCATTCATAGTTGTATATTTCTATTTTTTTCAGCAAATATTTAGTGTATAAGTTATGTTATTTATTGTTAATTTCATACAAATGTAGCAAAAAATTTAAGAAAATTAAGTTCAATGCTAATTAAAAGAGTTAATTACATTTTTCCTGAACTATTCAGTATATTTTCATATTCAGAATATTTTGAGCTTTATTTCTCTAATTTGTTAGTAACTTTATTAAAATTTACAGAAAAGTTAGAGAAATTCATATTTAATTCGAAATAAAGCAGTCAATTCATTTTTCCTGAACTGTTCAGCATATTTTGCAATAATTAGTACTTCTAGAAATTCACTTCTATACTGCTTCGATAGCCTCATTAAATTATGGAGCATTTACGAATTTACATAAGTTTTTGAGAAAATCAAGTTTAATTCAATGAAAATAAAATATTCCAGAACTATTCATTGTAATTTTGACGAATTCTTTAGAATTTTGGTTCCGCAATTGTAATTTCAATGTAAACTTAACAAAAAAGAGAAGAATTTTAGAAATTAAAGTTTAATTCAAATTACGGAAGTTAATTGAATTTTCCTGAACTTTTCAAGAAAAATGTTATTTATTTTATTTATAGTTATTTTCACGTATTTGTTCTAGAATTTTAGATCTATAATTCTTCGTTAACTTTTTCAAAATATACAGTACAATTTGTAAAAAAAGTTTAATTTAAATAAAATTTTCTAGAATTATCCAGTAAATTTTTCATGAAGTTCTAGAATTTAAGTTGTACACTTTTTTATCAACTTCATTAAAACATTTCGCGCAATTCGAAAAACTGAAATTTATTTTAATTTTAGGCAAGTAAATTATTCAGAACTGTCCAGTAAAACTTTGATAAATTTCTACAATTTTAATTTAATCTTTCAAAATATAAATGTTATTAAAATATGGAAATAATAGGAGGACATCAAGTTTAATTCGAATTGAATTGATTAACTTAAATTCCCTAAACTGTTTAGTATATTAATTTTTATAAATTAATACTTTAATTAATACTTTGAAAATTTTAGTTCCATAATTTTTCGTTAAGTTCAGTAAAGTGTAGAGAACAATTAGTAAAAATGTCCAATTTAATAGAAATGAAATTTTTCAGAACTGTTCTGCACTTTTTTGTTCGATGAAGTAAATAAAAAATTGTACAATTAGAATTAAACTAGAACTACAATAGTTTTTGTCTCATCAAACAGTTGAATGAAGAAAATAAAATAAATAAAAATTAAAAGTATGAATGGAAATTTAATGTACGAAATCGAAATCTTTCCAAACCTGACTATCATCGACAAGGGGATATATTATCCACCAAATACAAGTTAGCACACACATTGAATAAAATAGTACACAATTAAATATCGCATAATTAGCACTTTTTTTTGCTATTAAAAAATGTTCTCTTCTAGTTGGTGTAAAAATAGGATTATTTAGTCTTTTTAAAAGTTCCTCAATTTTCTTTTGCTTAAAAAATATGTTAAGCATTTTAACAAAAAATACAAAGCAAGTCATTGTAAAAAATGAGTCCTCAATTAAATTGTATAAATCTTTTCTATGAACATACATATTTATAACTTGTGTTGGTAACAGAGCGATATTATATGTAAAATGAAAACAGTAACTGAAAATATTATAAAATCCTCTGAAAAGTAAAATATAATTTAATGTTTAATTTTCATTTTATTTACATGGAAGAACAGGTCATGATTAATTTTTATATGATGAGGAAAAGGTTCAAAAATTTTTTCAATCGGCCATGTTCAAAAATTAAAAAAAATTTTGGATTGCAAGCATATTTTCTCTTCGAAAATGACTAAATTCAATATAAAACTCACATCTATGATCAGATTTTATCACCGACTAATATTTAACAATATTTTAAACAATTTTTTTAACAACAAATTATAATTTGAAAGACACAAAATTGTCGAAAACATTTTTTTTCATATCGCTCTTATTTTTATAGTTGCAATGATTGTTGAAGATAAAAAGTGTTTAACATTATTATTTAACAATGTTATAAACAATTTTATGAACAAATTAACAATTCACAATAATTTAACCTAAAATAGTTCCTTCTTCCACCGGCTTTTTTAATGTTGTCTTAATGAATCTTTGAGATTAAAATGATTAATTAAATTTATTTAACAACTTTATAAACAAATTCTATAAACAAATTCCGAATTAGCAACAACTAATTTATTGAAAAATTATTGAAAAATATTAGTAGGTACATTTAAGTATTAAGATTCACTAATTCTATAGAAAAAAATAGTAGAAAAAAAGTAATCTTTTCACCTTCTATTGTTGCTAATTTGTAATTTTTTTATAAAAATTCTCTATAGAATTGTTCAATAATTTTTTTCAATAATTTTTATCCTAAAAACTCATTAAGAAAGCAGTAAAAAAAGTCCGTGATAGAAGGAAATATTTTTTTTCAGCTTCAGATGTTGACAATTCTTAATTTGTTTATGAAATTGTTTAGAACATTATTAAATAATAATGTTAAATAATTTTTATCTTCAACATTCATTGCACCTATAAAAATAAGAGCGATGTGAAAATAAATATTTTCAACAATGTTTTGTGTTTTTAAAATTGTAATTTGTTTATAGAAATTGTTTATAAAGTTGTTAAATAAATGTGATCAATAATTTTTATCTGAAAAACTCATTAAGAAAGCAGTAAAAAAGTTCGTGAAAGAAGGAAATATTTTTTTTCAGCTTCAATTGTTGTCAATTCTTGATTTGTTTATAAAATTGTTTAGAACATTGTTAAATAATAATGTTTAATAATTTTTATCCTCAACATTCATTGCCAACATAAAAATAGGTACACAATATTTTTCAACAATATTTGTGTTTTTCAAATCGTAATTTGTTTTTAAAAATTGTTTAAAATATGTCTGAATATTAGTTAGTGATAAAATTTGATCATAGATGTTAGATTTATATTCAGTTTAGTCATTTGTGATGAGAACAAATGTGTGTAATTTTTTTTTAGACTATTTAAAATTTTAGATAATTTAATCGCCATTTTGAATTTTGAAAAAAAAATTTCTAATAATAGGAAAAAAGCGGACTTCTTGAACAAAATAGGTTAACGAACTCATTGAAACTTTGTTGAACAATAAATATTTCATCCATTAATTTTTTTCCTAAAGTGAAATAAAAATTTAGGGAACTTTTTTTGTGTATTTTAATTAAAAAAATATTTAATTATACTTTAAAATTATGACTATAGAAAAAAAGAGAAATTTAACAACCTTAATGTTGGAAGTTTAACTGCTGTTGGCCACATACCAAAAATAGTAAAAACACTTACAGCCATAACAAAACCATCTTCCGGCTTATAGACTTCCATTATTATTATTTTCCGGTAGAGTCAATTTTCCTCTATTATGGTTGATATATTTGAAGTGATATTTTATTATGTTGATGATTGGGGTTTGAATTTCAATTGATAGTCATGTGACGAGAGGTAAATTGTTTTCCAATCATGAGCGGCTCCCATTACAAAGTAATGAACAATATTTTCCTCGTCACGCCCATTTGTGTCTGTCGACTTCATGTTCCTTACATTGTCTGAATAATTCAATTATGTTTCCTCCCTTTTATCGATTTGAAATCATCATTTTCATCCGTGTCTTGTCAGTATCGTGATTTTCATTCAATCATATAGTTGGAATCCATATTTTACTGTAATAGAAAACATATTTTATGTATATACAAATTATTGTATATTGTAGTACAGAGGGGAAAAAATAGAAAATACAAACATTTTCTACGATTTTTGCAAAAAAAAGAAATTATTAATAATAATAATTTTAATATTTAACAACTGAAATTTTTGCTTTTTTCGTCAGGATTTTTGGATAAATTTTATTTCCGGATTTTGGAAAACTAAATTTGTAAATCCAAGGGTCAAAACTAACACAAACATCGTGAATCGACGTTTGTGGAAAAATAATTTGAGAAAAGTTTGTAAACTAATGCTTTTATTTTAACAGTGGTAAAAAAATGGTTTATAAAATATAAATTAGTAGATAAAAAAGGAGATAAAAAAGTAGATAAGAAAATTATTGTACTGGTACAATAGTTTTATAAACAAACGTTTTTTCAATTTCATTTCTATATTTTTATTTATTCAGTTTTATTTTCATTTAAATTTCATTAAATACTATTTTTTAATTATTTATTTATTAATGTTTTATATATTTTTTTATTACGTTCAAACTCGTGAAATAAAATTATAATTAAAAATATTAATTATAATTATAATAATAACAAATAATAATATTATAAGTCATTTTAAAATAATATGATTAATAATAATGATAATACTAATGATATGAAAAAAGAATGAATGAAAGATGAAGGAAAGAAAAAGAGAAAAAAAGTAAAGTAAAAGTAAATTGAAATTAAAGAAGAAAGTTTCAGTTAAAAATAATTCTTTGCCTGTTTTATTTCTCCAATCTCATATCGTAAATTTACTCTTAGAAGAAAGTTTTTTCATAATAAAAGTAATTTTTTATTAAATTTCTAAAAAAGTAGGTAAGAAACATGTTTAAAAAATATTGGGCTATTTTTAGAATATATTTTTTCAATTACCAACAACTTATTCTACACAGGGTGACTCTATATAATAATAATTAATAACACACATGTCCAATGTTCGATTCTCCACTCACTGACTCTACCCAAATAAACTATCCAAAAATAAGTCGAAACTTATAACTGTCCACTGACCGACTCTACATAGACCGACTCCCCAAAATGAAATGAATTAAAAATTATTTAACTCTCCATTAACCGACTTTACACGAATAAAATCTCCAAAATAAATTAAAAAATTTTTAACTCTCCACTGACCGACTCTACATGAACAAACTCTCCAAAATTAATCAAAATTTCTTTAATTCTCCACTGATCGACTCTACTAGGAAAAACTCTCCAAAATAAATTAAATGTTTTTAACTCTCCACTGACCGACTTTAAACGAACAAACTCTCCAAAATAAATTAAAATTTTTTAACTCTGCACTGACTGAATCTACTTAGATAAATTCTCCAAAATTAATTAAAATTTTTTTAATCCTTTACTGACTGACCCTACACTAAAAAACTCTCCAAAATAAATTAAAATTTATTTAACTCTCCACTGACCGACTCTACATGAACAAACTATCCAAAATAAATTAAACTTCTTTTAACTCTCCAGTAACCGATTCTACACGAATAAACTCTCCAAAAATTAATTAAAATTTTTTTAACTCTCCACTGACCGACTCTACACGAACAAACTCTCCAAAATTAATTAAAAAATTTTTAATTTTTCACTGACCGACTCTACACAAATAAACTCTCCAAAATAAATTCATAATTTATTAACTCTTCGCTGACCGACTCTACATGAATATTAAACTCTCCAAATTTAATTAAAAATATTTTAACTCTCCACTAACATTTTAAAAAATGAAGTAATTGGTGGATTCCACGTCAGTTTAACACACTAATGTTCATGACTTGTTGGAATTTGGCTGCACTTTTGTAAATTTATTTCTTTTATAGTGATAAATAACTCCACCAAATATTTTTTCAAAATTTTGAAAATTACCAAAAATATGGCATTTTTATAATTTGTCTCTTTTCTTTAAAATGCTATAACTTTGGTTCTAATTAACCGATTTTTGATTTCGAAAAAATGATTTCTTTGTTTTTAAGTATATTTTAAGTTTAAGTTAATATAAAAAATTTTTTTTTTTTAATTTTGAAAAATTGAAAATCCGTTTTTGAAAATACATCATCTTTGATTTTTTTCAAAATTTTACTAAATGTTAGGACAAATGTGCTTTACATGTCCTGTAAGTTTCATCTTGGGATCTCAAAGGGATTCAGAGTAAAAAAATAAAACGTAACCACATATTACGAACATATGGGGCAAAATTCCTCAACTGCCCAGGTCAAAAATGAATTTTCTCTAAACTTTGCTAAAATGTTACTATTATTAGTAGAAGTGTAAATATTAATTTTTTTTTAATTTCATAAAATTTTCAAGAAGTTGAAATTTCGCGCCACCTTCGAAGGTTGCGCCACCCTCGAAGGCTAAAGTCTTACGACAGTTCCGAGGGAGGGTAAAGGGCTCCAGAAGAAGGGTTACGGGTTTTAGTGGGTCGGGCTGGCAGTAGATCGCCAGTTTATTAAATTTACTATTTTATATATTTATTTTTCTTTTTTTTATCTCCTTTTGTTTTATCACACCAACCCCACATAACCTTGGAGTGCGGAATCCAAGGTATCTGTAGGCAGATTTCCCATAAGTCCCTAAGCAAAAAAAAAAAAAAAAAAGAAGTTGAAATTTCAACTTTAGACATTTCACGTAAAATGCCTCATATTCGTAAACAATTCAATTTCATACAATCGAACGTATACACTACTGTATTAATGATTATTCATGTACAGTCGTTCAGTGAAGAGTTAAAAGAATTTTAATTTATTTTGGAGATTTTGTTCGTGTAGAGTCGGTCAGTGGAGAGTTAAAAAAATTTAATTTATTTTGGAGAGTTTGTTCGTGTAGAGTCGGTCAGTGGAGAATTAAAGAAATTTTGATTAATTTTGGAGAGTTTGTTTGTGTACAGTCGTTCAATGAAGAGTTAAAAGAATTTTAATTTATTTTGGAGATTTTGTTCGTGTAGAGTTAGTCAGTAAAGAGTTAAAAAAAATTTAATTTATTTTGGAGAGTTTGTTCGTGTAGAGTCGGTCAGTGAAGAGTTAAAAATTTTTTAATTTATTTTGGAGATTTTATTCGTGTAAAGTCGGTTAATAGAGAGTTGAATAATTTTTAATTCATTTTGGGGAGTCGGTCTATGTAGAGTCGGTCAGTGGACAGTTATAAGTTTTGACTTATTTTTGGAGAGTTTATTTGTGTAGAGTCAGTGAGTGGAGAATCGAACATTGGACATGTGTGTTATTAATTATTATTATATAGAGTCACCCTGTGTAGAATAAGTCTAGGGAGAGTAAAATTGTATAGAGAATATTAGTTTGTAGAATCAACCATGTAGTATCAGTCTGTGAGTAATCAGAAAAGGTTGAACTGAGTCCCTGCCGGGCATTCCATTTCAAATCGACCTTCTTTGTAAACAATTGACATTGTAAGGCAATTTTTAAATAATTATTTCTCCTACTTATTAAAGTCAAACTTTATTTACTATTTAAAACGAAAAATTTCTCAACTTTATGATGGTAGAAAATTTTTTTTTTTAAATAATATACCTAATTTATGAAAAAAATTAAGTTTGAAAGATAACCTATTAAATATCTTAAAACAAATCGCCTCCGATTTTTTTGAAATTGCCCATTATAATGTTTACAGGGAATAAAACTAGAATATTTAAGCTTTTTATTTTGACATAGATTTCAAGAAAACGCAGGCGACGTGTTTTGAGATATTCAAAATGTTATCTTTCAAATTTAATTTTTTCATAAATTATATTATTTAAAAAAAAAAAAATTTACCATCGTAAAGTTGAGAAATTTTTCTTTGAAAATCACTAATATAGTAAATAAAATTTGGTTTAAATAAATAGGAGAAATAATTATTTAAAAATTGCCTTACAATGTCAATTGTTTATAAGGAGGGTCGTTTTATAATGGAATGTCCCATAAAGAAATAAAGATTTGAAAAATACAGAAAAATGGAAAATATAAAACAAAAGTGAATAATTAAAAAGATTTGAAAAATAGAAAATTTAAATAATAATGAAGAATAAAATTTTCTGCATATTTTGGCACTATTCCCTGAATTATAAAATACCTCACAATTTACCAGAAAATTTCTTTCATTTGAACCTTTCTTCTCAATTTTTTTTCTTTTTTTTTCATTCTTATTTGTTTTTTCATATAAGAATAAATTTTTCTTTATTATTTTTGTCTTTATCTCTCCGTTCTCTTGGGATCCTTTAAAACCATTTCTTTCTTTCTTTCTTTTCTTGCCTTTTTTTCACCCTCTTGTTCTGCTCACTTTTCTTCTGATTTAAAGAGGCAAGCTTTTCTGGCTTTTAGACAGAAATTTTGAATGAAAAGTGCACCTTGATGAGAAAACGTGTTTACAATCTTTCTCTCTCTCTCTCTCTCTCTCTCTCTCTCTCTCTCTCTTTCTCTCTATATAGAAAACAGAGACCATCAGCATTGTTCACTTTCATTTTGCAGATTACTGGGTAAATCTCCTGAAAATGGTCTTTGTAAAATAATATAAAAACCACATCAAACACAATGTTTCTTTTCAAAGCAAAAAAATAAAAATATTGTATATATCAATTTCTTTTTTTTTCATGTATAATTAATTTTCTAGACAATAAAAAAGGTCCTTTTTATTATTTTGAATAAGTTTTTTAAAATTAAAACAATGATTTTCTTGGAAGAAATTTGTTTACAAGATTTTATAATTTTTGTCATCTATTAATTTTACTATCACTGTAAAACTTGTAAAAAATATACTTATTTTATTTCAAATTAACATATTTTACAATTATTTCCCTTTGGTGACGATTTTTTTCTTTCTTATTCCGTGACATGAACTTGTTTAAGAAGAATAAAAAACGAGTACGCGGATCTCAATATCTGGAAAAAAAAATTTTGTGTTATAATTTCATATTTCTAAAGAACAATTTCTAGTTTATTATTATTATTTATTT